GGGGGGGGGGGGATTACGTGAGTCTTTGTTGATCGCTTTCTGACACTCGTTGTGCCATAGCCACTTCATTTTTCCTAGGTCCACTTCCTTTCATGGTTGCGTTTTGTGTTTTTCAGTTTTGAATCACACCTTATTTGATTGTGTTTTTTTTTTCGTAGTAGTTTTGATTTCCCGCACCCCCGATATGTTGAATCAAAAAAACAATAAATTGGATTGTGCAGGCAAAGCGGAACGAAGCATGCGATGACATGGTGGGGCCACTAGAGAAGCCAGGCATTATGAGCTTCCAGGAAAATGAACAGGCGGTTGTTGTCAATGAAAAATTTTACAATGGTGGTGGAGGAATGGTCCCGGAAGGTGCGTTGAAGGAGAGCAAGGTTGATAAGGAGGTGCGGGGTGGCACCAAAGCATTTTCCTTGGAGTTTATTTGCCACCTTATGGAGCTGTTGGCTCAGTTCTATGCAGAACCAGCAGCAGGAGTTGGAGCAATATCACTATTGCAACCTACATTGACGGTGTTATCTGCTCAGCCAGGGTCTTCATCGTTCTCATTCCCAGAAGAGGAAATGGGATCATCTTCTTCCTTGGCATTTCTTGTCTCATGGTTATCATCTGCATGTCAATCGGCGATGGACAAATTCATGAAGAGGAAAGAGCTATACGACATCCTCGCCGTCAACTCTAGCGCAAATTCCATTGGGATAAACAACGCGTATAACAAGGTCAGTCGGTGAGAGCCATTTCTTTCAATGCAAACTCTGGTTCGTAGGTGCGAACACTGGCTTCGTCTTTCCAATTCTTCTATTCTTATCAGCCCCTATTCTTACCTTTTCTTATCGAGTTCGAACATATGAGTCAAATGATGGAATTTGAATCACTTTGTTTATTAGAGAGTCAGTTAGTCCACTGTACTGTATCTTTCAGCCTTTTGTTTGAAAAAGAACGACAAACTCACTTAGATCGTTTGGGCATGGCAACTGGAGTTTTGCGGACGCTCAGGTGAGGGGGTACACCATGGTATTCTTCTTCAATACTCAAAATAGCCCATTTTCAGCTTAGATTCAATGGTGAATGTTTCGTGAAACCTTCACCACAAACAACATCCTGTACCTGAAGTTGAGGCCAACGGTTGTGCTTACGGGACTGTTGTATCATCTCCTGTTAATCAGCGCATACCTACACATACTTCGAGTTATCCAACTTCTCAGGGGAAGTACGTGCGGTCAAGTTCATCGAGGTGCGCCTCTAAAAGCGGCCAGATATCAAGGAAAATCCTCCTGTGAGCAAGGGTTGCATGCTTGCCTACCGCCGATGCCGACTGGCGACGGTTTTCCAGTCTACCAGTAGAGGGTCATCCGCAAGTAGGTGGTCTGCCAACCAGTCCATAGATGGTCTTCCGCTGATTGTTTTCGAATCTGAGTTCAGGGCTGTACTGCTCTTGCCGAGTACAGTCCAAATCCGCTGAGAAACTTTTTGGATGGTGGGGGGGGGGG